CCCGGTCAGCTTCTGGTATCCCACTGAGGGCGACTTCAAGGGTGGGTGGCTTATGCAGTCAGAAGGGCTCTGTATTTGGTTTAATGCTCTGTTATTGCTTCCTTGAAATTTCTAACAATTTTATCTTTGGAGCTGTGTTTTGTAAGTGAAGTCTGATGGGATGACGGAGTGCAAACATGAGCAGAGGAGAGAGGCACAACCATTCTTTGCAGCCCCAGTTGCACGTAGCATTCAGGATGCCCCATGAGCACAGAATTCCGGTGGCCCCACAGTGCATGAGAATTCAGCAAGACCCAGCTTGAGTATAAGGTAAGACTGTCAGGTCTTTAACTAAGTAAGCAGGCAGACATGCTGACAGTCCCAAGAGGCATGCTTCCCATTCAACCCAGAAATTGCTTCAAATACAGAAAGAAAGCAATAAGCACAAATGACCTAAAGCCCCATCATCTCCTTTCTTACTTATGTTTCTACCCGGTACTAGCCAACCGCTTGTGCTGCAAATGATGACGTAGAAGGAAAGAGTAGGGTAAGAGTAGGGAATACTTCCTTTTCCTTTCCTTACTCAGTAGAAAGCCAGACTTGGTGGGAAATGCACACATAAAGAGTGCGTGGAAAGAAACGAAATAAAAACCATTGAGTTTGTTTTGTCAGCATTTCCACTGTTCTAGGAAGAATAAACTACATATGCATGTATAAGCTACAAAATGTGAATTGTGTAATTTACGTGAATTAACATACAAGGTAAGTGCTTTCCTATTTCCATTTAAAACTAGCATCACACAATATAAAGATGAACAGTAAAATTCATGCCAATAATTTAAAATTAAATTTTAATTTTCTTATACTGACATTAAATAGCAAATAAAAGCACCATGTCAAATCGAAAGAGAGAGATCATGAAAGAAAGGAAAAAAGCTTTGTCTTTTAACATCTTTAATGATACTTCCCCCACACACTTTTTGAATAAGGAGCTCCCTATTTTCATTTGCACTGAGCTGCACAAAAATTATGTAGCCCTGGTTCCGTGGCTTTAAGACATGTCCATCCCTGGCCTTTTCCCAGTGTGACCTCTCTAGGCCTTGTCATACCGCTGTCCTGGGGCTTTTTATAGGATCAGTGGATATTATCTGCCCCTTTGGTAAAATAAACAACAACAACAACATCCCTTAAATGTAGCTCTGTGTAGATGGGGAAATGGGTAAAATGACATGGTAGGGACTTAACCAAAGTCACAGGGTGTGCGAGGGATAGAGGCACAAGCTGATCCTCATCTAGATCCAATGCCACAGCCTGTTGGCACTCATCTACACTGCGGGCATTTGAGTCTTGAATGTCATTTGAAAATACCAACAAAGTCATTACATGTTGCACCCTTTTGATCACACCCAGCTGGGGCCACCACAGCCCCATAGGAACCATGTGGAGCAAAAGGCTCTGCCTTTCAAAAGATGTTGCACAAAACATTCCAAGGCCCCAGGGGAGTCCTGTGTCTTGTCCAAGGTCAACAGGAGTCAATCAACAGACCAACACATGCTTCCTTCGCAGCTTTAGTAAGGATCAGAGTCCTACATCGCCCCAGGCAGGTCAGAATATCTTTTCAATCACTGTATCAAAGTCATTCAAAATTCTGAAAGAATGGGATGCTTCCCATATATAATTTTTTTTTTTTCTTAAAGAATAAGACAGGTAAAATCAAGTCCAGGGGTCTTGCAGTACTGGCCAGATCTCTCCTAATCAGGAGGAACTCCAAGCCAGAACAGACCACACCCATGGGCACTTTGACAACTGCCTGCACACGCTTCGTGTGACCCCCTCAAGTCATCCAAATGAATTTTTAGACTAACATCTCTTAGCACATTGCACATTCTAGCTACCCCCTTGCTATTCTCTTGGAGCCTTCCTTGAAGAGTGCCAGGGTCCACCAGACCTAGGTTTTTTCCAGAGGCCCCACAACAGCATTTTGTGAGGTGCCGAGATACCCTTAGCAACATGGCCTAATCCTCCGGGTACTTCTGGGCTAGTCCAAGTTCCTTCCAAATTTCAAACATCTCTCTCTATGGACAGATATAGAAGGACAGGTCTTTGAGAGTGCAAACGTCTTCAGACTGCTCCCACCAGGAACTGGCTGGGCTGCTCAGCCAGCACTGCAGCCTGGATGGAAGGCTCAGGTGCCTTTCTGCCAGAAAGAACGTGCAGCTGTGGTCTCCTTCCTATCAGCAGGTACGAGGGGGGCAGGACATCTTCTGGGCCACACTGCACTGCTCTGGCTCTGACAACAGTAACAGCGATCTTCCCTTTCCATCAAGTGGTAATCATAAACACTTAAAAATTTTATGTCGCCCTTTCAAATAATCTTCACGAAAATATTAAAAATGCTTCTCATATAATGGTAAGTGGGAATAAAAGCAGGATACAGGAGGTCCTGGCTTTGTGAACAGTTTACATTTATGTATGGAAAAAAAATACAGGGAGGAAATATATCACAAGGGATGTCTTTTGGTGGTGGGGTTAAGAGTAATTTTGCATTTTCTTCTTTAAACTTTTTGGTATTTTCTAAAAGAAAATATACTTTAAAGGTACGTATTACTTTTGTAGTAATACGTATTACTTTTGTAGTAATAAGAAAGGATACTTTCTTATTAGCTAGGATTTCTCAGACAGTAGTAACAGATTTTAAGCATTATCCCAAAGAAAACCAACATCAGGCTTCTCCTTCTTCTCTAGGTGACTTCCAGGATCCCTTCTCCCAACTGAATTTTCTATAAGGATAAAGATTTTGGCTTTGACAGGACTGCTCAGCTTGTAAGTACTCTTCTTTTCTCTCTCATTGAAACTTGAAAATACTTAGGAAGAGCCCTATCAGAGTTTTGAATTAAGGTCCTGCATTTCTTTCTCCTGGTTCCCAGGGCTCAGAGCTCCAAACAGAAGCCCACCTGAGACTAGATTCAGGGAGGCAGAGGCCTAGAGGACAGTGACTTTGCGCATCAAGGTGTGATGGCAAGAACATTGATTTTGGAGTTGAATGGCTCTGGAGTTCCCTCAGGGTTTTTTTTTCTCTGCAATCTTTTAGCAAGTTGTTTTAAAGGTTAAAAAGCGCATTGTATGTAGAGTGACTAGCACAGTGCACACAGTAAATTATTAATACGAAGAAGGGATGAGCACTGGAGAAGGCAGCAGTGGGGAAATCTGCTATTGCTACTCTCCACTCTCTTCACCACTCAAGTTTTCCAAGCGCCTGCAGGGTGGGGGTGGGGGCGGGGGTCAGGAGCTGGCGGGATCTCAGCCCCGCCCTGACTGGGCTTGCCTAACCAAGGACACATCTTTGGTTTCACCAAGGAAATGTGACCACCTCTCGGGTAGGAAATAGGCAGTCCTAGCCACAGGCCAGCAGCCAAAAGCGTGGGGTGAGGGGCAACCCTAGAATGCCCATGGCTAAGACTAAAATAAGACTCCATTACCACTCTGAAATCACCGCATTAGTGATCCAGAGTGCCTCTTCCTCCACCCACGGCCACTCTGCCCTTTAACTATTCATCAGGCAGAAGCAAGTATGCCAGAGGCTTACAGGAAATAAAGAGAATCAAGCTGCACCTTATGATGGATTGAGATAGTCCATCTTTGCTATAGGACTACTTTACCTAGTGCCATTATTACTAGGACTGCTATGGGCACCACTATTTTTACAACTGCTACTGGTCTATTAATCCCTTACATTTGTAAACTACAATTTATAAAGTGGCTGGGTTTTGCCTGATTAAAGGTGATACTGGGCATGGCATTATGGGAACACAGTCAGCCTGGCACTAGACACCTCAGAGGGAACAGAGCAGAATTACTGATATATTTTTTTTCATCCCCCAACTTCCTGTGCCCAAAACACATTCACCCTCCCCAGGCCACACCCTGTCACTCTCCTGAAGCTCCTGTGCTCCAGCTGTCCAGAGCTAGTTTAGGCAACTTCAAGGGTTAGGGATTAGGAGTAATGGTCTTTTATTTGGCCAGAGGAGCTGGACCATGCCCAAATCCCACCAAACAGGGTGAGAGAGGAGTATAGAATGCCTCTCCAAATATAAGGCCATTGCGCCTGCCAACATCTCCCACCTTCCCGCAGGAAGGCCCTGGAATGACCCAAGCTCTTCCTTTTTTTAAAGAGACTTTAAATTTCCTGTGGCAAAGTTAAATTTTTAAAAATGCCTGACTTTGACCTAAATCCCCAAAGTGAACTCTGGAATGTATACCTCACCTTCTCTGAGCTCTGCTGGGGCCCCCTTTGCCCTCAGGCCCTGCAGTCAGCTGGGAGAGGACCAGTGCTACACGGAGCGAGGATGTTGCACACAGCTCAAGCCCAACCATGAACTAGCCTCCCTTTGAGATCGCTCTCTTCACCTGGCAACCAGGGGCCCCAGCAGAGCTCAGAGAGAAGAAAGTGGCATTTTGGAATCCATTTTGCTCAAGATGCTGAAGGCATCGTGACAAACTGCCCTTTGCTATCGAGGCCAAGGGAACTTGGGGCAGGAAGGACCTTACCCATCGGGATGCTGTCAGTGAGGGCGAGCTCTCGTGCCAATGATACCTGAGGAAAGGGGCCACCGGGCGTGCGGTGGGCGCGGGTGCCCACCCTGGGCGCTACTTCCCGCATTTGGACCCAGGTCCACTGGTGGGCAGTAGCAACAGCAATCGCCACCAGGCCAGCGGGGCTTCTTCTGTCTGTCCAGTTATTTTTAGGTGAGATTTACGATGGATGAGGGGGAAGGGACACAGGATGACAACGAGTTTTGGGAGGTGTAATCCTAAAAGTCACTTTTTCCAAAGCGCCCCCCTCCCGGGTCCTCCATCCCGGAGCAGCACGGTGCCAGCGGGGAAGTGGGCAGCGCGGGCGCGCCGCAGCGGTCGGCTGGGACCGGAGGGCCGGGGCCCCTTGCCGGGCGCTGGGCGGGGGGGGCGGGGGACGGGCGGGCAGGCAGGGGAGGAGGGGCCGGGCGCGGCGCGGCGCAGCTCACCTGCCAGGCTGTTGTAGCAGTCGATCTCGATGGCTTCCACTGTCTTGCTCTGCTCCTCCGAGAGGCGGCCGGGGTTTGGGGCCCCGGGCGGGGAGGCCGCGCGCGAGTCCCGCTCCTGCTCCCCGGGCACCGGCTGCAGCCCCTTCAGCTCCAACAACGCCCGGTGGTATTTGCCGATGGCTTCGCGGAATTTCTTGTCCTTGTAGCACTGCGCCCCTTGGCTCTTGAACTCGTGCGCCCGCCTGATGAACTCGGCGGGCTCGGCCGCCGCCCCAGCCTGGCCGTGAGCCGGGACCCCGCCGCCGCCGCCGCCCGGGACGCACAGTGGCGGCGGCGGCCGCTGCGCCTCGCCGGCCGCGGGCGGGCTCGGGTTCCCCTTGGCCGCGGCCGCCGAGCCCTTCCTCTCCATCCGGCCGCCGCCCGGCGCCCCGCGCGCGCCGCGATCCGCCCGCCGCCGCGGCCGCCGCGCCCTCCCGGGTTTAAAAGCGGCGGGCGCCTGCCCCGCGCTTGGCAAGCTTGGCCGCGGCCGTGACACCCCGCGGCGGTCTGGCGCCCCGCACTCCCATTCTCCTCGCCAGCTGCGGTAGGCTGCTCTCTCCTCCTCCTCCTCGGATTGCTGTCCCCTCCCTCCCTCCCTCCCCCTCTCCCGCGCCGCCCGCCCTTCTTCCTCGCCCGCCTCCCCTCCCGCAACCTGCGGGCGATGGCGACCTGGCCCTCGCGGGCGCAGGGCTAGCAGGATGGGGGACCGCGGGCCCGATTGGGGTGGCGGTATTGTCGCTGACCCGGAAGAAGCTTGGCTCGCCCGAAGGAGGGGAGGATTAATGACAAAGACGGCCCCGTTCTTTCCCATTCAACCCAACACTCGGAGACGCGCCTAGTCTGAAAGAGACGAATGGGGGAAGGGAGGGGTGTGTGTATGTGTTTAGGGAGGGGGGTCCGCCAGTGTGTGTGTGTGTGTGTGTGTGTGTGTGTGTGTTTAGGGAGGGGGGTCCGCCAGTGTGTGTGTGTGTGTGTGTGTGTGTGTGTGTGTGTGTGTGTGTTTAGGGAGGGGGGGTCCGCCAGAGTGTGTGTGTGTGTGTGTGTGTGTGTGCGCGCGTGTGTTTAGGGAGGGGGTCCTAGTCTGAAAGAGACGAATGGGGGAAGGGGTGTGTATGTGTGTGTGTGTGTTTAGAGAGGGGGATCCGCCAGTGTGAGTGTGTGTGTGTGTGTGTTTAGGGAGGGGGTCCGCCAGCGACCAGATGCATGCAGACTCACCCTCAATAGATTGCTTGAAAACTAGAAAGATGCGGCTGGGAGCAAGGGGCGTAGGCACAAGCCATAGCTTCTTGTTCTTTGCAGTCAGTCATTAATATATTTAAGATGGCAGGGCTTCTTTTTTGTGGATCCAGGTTGTCGCTGAAGTGTGTCTCGGTGTGTGGCCACCCAGGCGTCCGGAACACTGTGCACTTCAGCGTGTGGGGCGTTGTATTCTAGGAGCCGCTGACACCTCTGTGTGCCGGCAGCTGTGCAGAATGAATCACCGAGATCAGAGATGGAAAACACCTGTTACTGTGGATCATCAGTCTGGGCGTGCATGCGTTCCAGTTTCCATTTACAGGACAGTTCCGTGCCCTTTCTCCAGAGGTTCCATTCCTTCATTCACTCTTCCAGGCAGCCTGAGGGTCGGCTGTCTGCCGGTAACTGGCTGGGGCTAAGGGACAAAGATATTAGAGTGTGAGAAGCACTGCCCTAGATTTGTAAAGTCCAGAAACGTAAGGGAAGAAACCCCCAACCCTGTCCCTTCACCCAGATATACTCTTTGCGGATATTTTGATGTCATTCCCACCCTTTGTTTTGTACACAACCTTATTTGTACAATGTGCCCTTTTAGCAAGCATGAGTGGTATGGGGGTGATATATAGAGTTTCCTGCTCTTTTTACTTTACAATATATGTGGTTAAATAGTCTTTTAAAGCCTTGTTTTTAAGGGCTTCATAATATTCATTTTATGTCTGTACCATGGTGTACTTAACCATTTTTCTATGGTCCGATGGAATGATTCCAATTATTTATTACTATAAATAATGCTAAGATAATAAAAATGATAGATACCACTTATATATCATGCTTTCTTTATGCCAGGGACTGGGTTAGGTAGTTTACCTATAATAATTCATTTAATTCTCATAAGAACTCAGTGAAATAGGTACTATTAGTATCCCCATTTTGGATACCAGGTGACAGAGACTTTCCCAAGGACACACTGCTTATAGGTAGTGGAGCTGGGATTTAAATCCAAGCAATCTGGCTTCAGAATTGATGCTCTCAACTGTATTTGTACTTAAATTTTTGTCCTAATTTATTTTTCCTTACAAGAGATTATTTCGATTTTTTAAAAAATGTCTTGAAACATATTATCTATTTGCTTTTTTTTTTTTTTAAAGATTTTATTTATTTATTTGACAGAGAGAGACAGCAAGAGCAGGAACACAAGCAGGGGGAGTGGGAGAGGGAGAAGCAGGCTTCCCGCGGAGCAGGGAGCCCGATGTGGGACTCGATCCCAGGACCCTGGGATCATGACCTGAGCCGAAGGCAGACGCTTAACGACTGAGCCACCCAGGCGCCCTATTATCTATTTGCTTTTTAAGAAAGGTTGTATTAACCTGGGCTCCCACCAGCAATGTAGTAGTTTCACAACATTCTTGCCAACATTGAGGTTAAACTTTGAAAAGCATTTTCTAATTTGATGAATAAGAACTATATACTGAATGACCTGGGATATCTTTAATTACAAGTGTGAAAATTTTTTACATATATAGTTGCCATTTGTATAGTACCGAGGGCTTTTATTTGGACATGATCTTAATGTACTAAATTATACCTTATATGTTACAGTATCTTACTTTTCTAACTGCATTAACATCTTTAATCTCATTTAATCCTCACATTAGCCCCAGAGAAGGAAAATGATTCTTTACTCACACAGGGAGTTTGCAGTGTTTTCTGACAAGTGAAACATCATATTACTGTAGTGGTTGAGAGGCTTTGTACTTAAGAGGTATGCTGGGTTTCTATCTTGGCTGCTTCCTGGATGTCATTCAATTTCTGAGAACTTCAAATTCCCTTACTTATTACATGGGAATACTACTTACTTCATAAGGTTGTTGTCAAGTACGTTATAAGTACTCAGCAGATGGTAATTTAATCATTATTCATTAAATCCTGTCATTATTGGATCCCCTAAAGATATTATGGCAGACTCTTGTTAATCCATAAATATTTGTCAGCCCCTGGCCCTTTTTACTGTAAGGTATTATATCAGGTAGAGCAAAGAGAAGAAATTGGGGGTTGAGTGCTCTGAGTTTTTATCGTTAACTTCTTACTCAGGCAAATATTGGATGAAGATCCAGGCCTGGGACTTTGCTACTGTCAGAGGTAAGATATGAATTGGGTCATGACAGTCACAACTATTTAAAGGGGAGAAATACTGATGTGCCAAATTGCTTTTTGATAGCCTACAGATAGCAGTATCTCCCTCTTAGATTTTGGGTCTGAGGACAGGGCTGCAAGAGACATGTAATGCATGTGGTACTAGCCTGTGTGTGAAGCACAGCCCAACACAAAAGCTTCATAGTAGCTTGGATGAAGGAGAGCATTAGTGAGGAAAGGAGAGTATATTATGGGGGGGGTGAAGTGAGAGGAAATTTACTATGTCCATCTGTCCTCCACGGCAGAGCTATGCATGTATGTCTAGAACTGTTTTGTTTGGTTGCTTCCGGTGTGCTTCTGTCTCTAAGCCACTCATTGGTGAATGGGTGCTGGTTTCTCAGAAATGATCTCCTCCCTTCACATGGAATTAAATAGATGCCCCAAAGAATTTCTCAAACATCCTTTCATTAACTATTGACCATATGCAGAGCACTATTTTTGGAAGCAAGCAAAAATTGAAATGACAATTTGGGCATGGATTTGGGATTCAGAAACTCAGTACTTCTCAAGCTTTAATGTGCGTATGAATCCCTTGGAGATCTTATTAAAATGCCACTCCCAGGGCGCCTGGGTGGCTCAGTTGGTTAAGCGACTGCCTTCGGCTCAGGTCATGATCCTGGAGTCCCGGGATCGAGTCCCGCATCGGGCTCCCCGCTCAGTGGGGAGTCTGCTTCTCCCTCTGACCCTCTTCCCTCTCGTGCTTGCTATCTCTCATTCTCTCTCTCTCTCTCTCTCAAATAAATAAATAAAATCTTTTAAAAAAAAAAATGCCACTCCCAGGTTCCCTTCATCTAGGGTGGGGCCCAAGATTGTGCATTTCTAACAAGCTGCTAGGTGATGCTCATACTGCTGGTCCAGGGCCCACATTTTGAGGAGCAAATATTTAGAGAAAAGGGCAGTTTCATCTCTCCCCTTCTCTCCTGACCTTTGCCTTCTGCCAGAGAGGACTTGTTCATTAGATCGGTTGGATTCCAGGAAATTAATTGGGCCACATTTAACAAGGGCAGGGTTAGGAACCTCCATGCAGCTTTTTCTTATACTTCATGCAGCAGGAATAGATACGCTGAGCCAAGGCCTCCTCTTGGGATCTGGCCATCTTGTTTTCTCTTCTTCAAATGCATAGCTGAGCATACTTTTTATTGCTTCCATTTCTGGTCCAATGTGGCAGGACAGAGGGTGAGAAGATTTCGGTGTGTAGTGGGGAAGGAGAGGCTCGGGGAGGCCTTTCTGTCAGCTGCTTGCTCTGACCTTGTTTTCACAAGAGAGCTCTGCCCTAAGACGCTGAGCATTTATTCAAGTGAAAATAAAGTAGTATTTTGATTTCTCATCTGTTGATGGCTCTTGAATGTATTGCATGCTTGTGAACCTCACAGAAGAGAATGATGACTGACCAACAGTAGCTTTCTAGCACTTGTGGTCCTTTGGCTCAATGTCATCAAAACCTCTCCTTTCATTCCTCACAGGCAAGCTCTGGGCACAGGCCAGTGAATCCTATGGATGACCTTACCACTAATGGAAGAACTCATTACTGCCGAGATACTAGGGAGGTTTTTTTTAGGAGAAGATGTATATGGAATTATTTTGATGGCAAGAACTTGGTGTGGTACACAGCAGAAGGCACAGTGCTCCTGCTGGCTTTACGGGTCTCAGACTCTCTATCTGTCCTGGGTTCTGACCTTGTTTCTGTTTCTCTGAGCTGGTGCCTTTCTCACTGCCTACTGGTCTTAAAAGACTAAAGCCCCTTTTCTTTCCCAACTCACTTGGGAGCTTGCATACCTCCTAAACAGATGGCATGGGCTGCTTTCCTCTTCCTTCAGCTCAGTTTCCTAAGCATATGTGAAAGACAGATATTTGAATCTCTTTTATACTAATCTAAGCTGTTCAGGGTTTGGTCACACGCCAACCAAACCAAAGCTATTTTGGGGATGTTTTTCTAATTGC